AAGGGAGTAATCGATGTGCCTGGAGGTTACAGTCAGCTTTCACCCTGATTCTCCCTGTTCTCCTAGCATTTCACTCCATATGCCTGAGCATGTGTGATGCACTAACTAGTACGTGATTCAGTGAATAGAGCGGGCACCTGAGCAGGTCTCCCAACTGACAGGAGAGAAATGGAATGTCCATGCCTATGCCCCTCAGGGCCTCCATCCTATGAATGAGCTTGCGGAGCACGAGTCTCTTGCAGATACCCAGGGAACAAGATTCAAGGTCCAGTAGGAGAATTGTTATCATTGCCTGGTTCAGACAGCCTTTCTTTTTGGCCTTTTCCTCTTTAGTTCCTTTTTTATTTTTATTTTTTTTGGAGAAGTTTTTGCTATAGGGTGCATGCGCTCGCCAGACAGACAGAGAGAGACAAAGAGACAGAAAGCGATAAATCACCCTCCAGGGGGGATAGCCATGCTGCAATCCCTTCTCCTCCATTCTCTTCTCGGGATGTTGTGCACACACGCACACACGCCCGGCATGAGTTTTAAGCCACTGGGTTCAGGATGCGAACTGCAGTCAACTACGTGGGAGTCCAGGGACATAGTCATTACACTAACTGCTGGTCCCATTCTTTTCCACATTAATTCTAATTCTAGCCTTTCTCATCATTGCCATTCACAGGAACATGGGCTACCACATTCTCATCTCCACCTCCAACAGGTAAGTAATCCTATAACCCATCCCTGGTGCTTTGTCCACCTCTAGATGTACTTTGGATGTAAAATGATAGGGTGAGGCTTTGAGAGGTCCATTCCTTCTGTGTGCCCCTGTGGTTTGGGTATCTGTATGGGGTCATGGGACACTGGAGTCTCTGGAAACCAAATGCTTGGATGATGTTAAAATGAGAGGGGCTTGTTACTTGTTTCCAGTGAGATTCTCCTCCAGTGGCTCAGCTATTATCTTCCTCTAGGAGGTTTTGAATAGCCCGTGAGGTTTCACTAATCCTGTTTGGGACATTGAACTTGAAAGATTTTAAGACCTCAGACTCTCTCTACTCCTTTCTCCTTTTTTTTGAGCCTAGGTTTCTGATAGTTACTTTGTGTGCTCTGAAAATGACTGCCGAGGTAAGGACCAAAGAAATGGAAATGTATGATGAACTTAGCAAAATGTGGGGTTCAATACAAGTACTGGCAACATTAGTAATAGGGCATATCACAAACCTCATAGACTGTAGGTTCTAATCCTGAAAAGCATTTAGCAGTCAGGGGGAAAAAATGCAAATTACAAGTAAAGAGAGGCAAGCACATCTGACCAGGCATTTAGATTCCATTTTAAAATGTGATGGGAGCAAAATCAAAAGGAGCCTGTAAGTGAAATTTTTCTCCCAGACAGCCAGCTCCTAATCTCACTAAAGGAGAAGGGAAGTGCCTCTAGCAGGGCCTCTTGCATTTGGCTTTCATCACAGGTGATTTCCCAGTGGCCCGAGTAGGACCTCCTTTAGAAAGTAGGCATGCTAGTGGGAACCTGAAGATCAAGCTCTGTGACATCAAATACAGATTTAGGTCTCTCAGTGGGTTCTCTGACTGACCACTCTCTGCTGGCCACTCACAGATGGCAAAAATAGAGAGACCTGAGAAGTCTCCTGTGGGTACCAGGCTATTGCAGGTTTAAGGAAGAAAACATAGGATTTCTACTTAAGAAAATGTCACGTTATCTGAGACTGTGGTTACAACTGTGTGATAATTTTACCTCTTAACTAAACTAAAATTTAATTTTCCGGGGTCCAAGGAAAGAATGAGTGCCTGTGCAAGAGAGCCCTTTTTTTTTTTAGAGAGATTTTTCCTATAGGGCACGTGTGCTTGCCAGACAGACAGAGAGAGACAGAGAGACAGAGAAACAGAAAGCAGGAAATCACCCCCCAGGAGTAATGGTCACACTGCAATCCTTTCTCCTCCATTCTCCTCTCGGGATCTTGGGCACGCACGCATATGCGCCTGGCGTGAGTTTAAGCCTCTGGGTCCGGGACTCTAACCGCGGTCGACTACGTGGGAATACAGCGACATAGCCATTATGCTAACAGCTGGTCCCATCACTTTCTTTTCTCTCTTTCCTGCAGAATCATCGCTCAACACACAATCATCCACAGAAATACCAGGTAACTTCCCTCACACAGTCTCTATTGGTCATAGAAATCTATGTGCATGAGGGTTAGGGTTGACACAGGAGAGAACTGGGGATTACAAGTGTAAGATCAACTTGCAGTACACTTTCCACGTGTGACTGTGTAGGTATGGGTCCAATTTCTGGAGGTCTTGTCCTCAGTATTCATCTCCAGACCTTGGAGACCTTGGGTCTCCAGTGTCTCATAGCCATTTGCGAAACAAAGAAAGAGAGGAGTGGTAATTGTCACTTGTTTGGGGAGTTTTGGTTCAGGGTGGAGGAGTGAGCACAGGAGGGCAATCATGAGGTCAAAGTCTCCTGCTGAGTCTGGACCTGCCCCAGCCTCCTTAAGATGTTGGAAGTGTCAAGAATCAGAAGTGCACCCCTCATAGAACAAGGCACCCATGTCCCAGAAAAGAATACCCCCTAACATTTCCCTGTGTGGAATTGAACACCAAAGTGGGGGTTTGGCCTATGGAAAGTGGTCCTGGGTGCACTCAACCGTCACATTCTTGAAATTACCAAAAATGCAATGAGAATTAACTGGGTGCTCTCTAGGAACTGATGCAAGTTTGGCCCTGAGGCTGGTGAATGGAGGTGATCAATGTCAAGGCCGGGTGGAAGTCCTGTACCGAGGCTCCTGGGGCACCATGTGTGATGATAGCTGGGACACCAATGATGCCAATGTGGTGTGCAGGCAGCTGGGCTGTGGTTGGGCTATGTCTGCCCCAGGATATGCCCAGTTTGTTCAGGGCTCAGGTCAATTGTCCTTAATGACATGCGCTGCTCAGGACACGAGTCCTCCCTGTGGAACTGTCCCCACAATGGCTGGCTCTCTCCTAACTGTAACCACGGGGAAGATGCTGGTGTTATCTGCTCACGTGGGGATCGAAGACCCTCAGTCTTCAGTCTTCAAAAACGGGCTTATTTCGGGCAATACTGGCCTGGCTTCTTGAACTTCTATTTGCTTTTGACTCGGAGTTTGGAAACTGGTGCTCTCCCTTAGACAGATGGTGCCTGTGCGACAGGTGTTGGATGCTCAAGGAGTGGGGTGTCTATCCAGGCTTAAGCTCCCTAATGAAGCTCTGGGCCATTTATCTTTGCCCTATAGTTTTTTGTGGTGGTATTGTCACAGCCCAAAGATACCAGTGTCATACCCAGCTTTTCCTTCCTACTCATGAGTGAGTTCATTCTGAGTTTATTGACAGCTGCTCCGTATTATGCCTATGTCCAATTTTATTTTGTCTTTCCATTAGCTTTTAAGTTCCCATCCTCACCTGCTCTATGTGAATCTGTGGCATTTTAATTTATCTATCCTTTCTAAACAAATATTGTGCCTGTGTTTGGTAAGTTTGTGAAACTTACAAAAGGTGTATAAACCTTTCCCAGGTAATTCTGGAATTGGTTAATGATGACAACTGTGCTGTCCACATACATTAGATTGACATGTTTGATAGCCTTAGTTGGGAGAGAGCTGTTCTAGCCCCCTAGTTGGCATGTAGATACATGAGTCTTAGATATTGAGAGCTGCTAGGGGTAAAAGTTCTGCTCCAGGGTCATTCTCAGCAAGGAAGTAAAATGAAGTCCAGAAGTGTCCTGAGTAAGGTAAGAAGAGCAATCTTCATATACTTTGGGATGGGAAGGAGTGGGGAATCAAATGATTTCTTATGAGAGTCACAGGAGCAGGCCCATAAGTTGTCTTTGTGGCTCTCATCTCCTCAAGAAATGACAGGTTACTGTTTGGACTTTGCCTGGCTGGTGATTCTCCTTATTTCAAATGTATACATGATCCCTTCCCTGTCCCAAGGTTGGTAGGAGATTCTGTCTCCATAGGCTTTTACCATCCTTTAGAAGAGGAGTTTTGAATGAGGTGGTAGGAGCCATGTGGCCCGGTACTGATGCCACCACACAGACACCCCTTTTCTGACATTGCTTGACCTTACCCCAGGTTGACTGCAGCGAACAATCGCCATAGAGTATAAGCACCATTTTGTCTCTGATGTACCTTTTTGGTTATCATTGATAACATTGCCTGGTTCAGAGAATCTTTCTTCTTGGCCTTTTTCTCTTGGATTCTAATTGAAGCCTTTCTCATCATTGCTATTTATAGGGCCATGGCCTACCACATTCTCATCTCCACCACCAACAGGTACCTAATCCTATAACCCATCTCTGGTTCTTTTGTCCACCTCTGGATGTACTTTGGATGTAAACATGATAGGGTGGGGACCAGCAGATGGCATAACGGCTATGTCACTGGACTCCCACTTAGTCGACTGGGGTGGGAGTCTTGGACCCCGTGGCTTAAACTCACGCCATGTGTATGTGTGTGTGTGTGTGCATGCACACGTAATCTAGATCCAGAGAGGAGAATGGAGAAGGAGGAATTGCGATGTGGTTTTCCACCTTGGGTGGTGATTTCTCGCTTTCTGTCTCTCTGTCTATCTCTTGCTGGTGAGCGCATGTACCACATAGCAAATACCTCTCCAAAAATAATGAGAGGATGAGGGTTTGAGTAATCTGTTCCTTCTGCATGCCTCTGTGGTTTGGGTGTCTGTATGGGGGATGTGGGACATTGGAGTCTCTGAAAACCAAGTGCTTGGATGATGTTAAAATGAGAGGGACTTATTACTTGTCTCCTGTGAGGTCCTTCTGCAGTTGCTCAGCTATAGTTCTCCTCTAGGAGTTTTAGAGTAGCCCTTCAGCGTTCACTAATCCTATTGGTACACTGAATTTGAGAGCTTTGAAGACCTCAGACACTTTCTTTACTCTTTTTGAGCCTGGGTTTCTGATAGTTGCATTGTGGGCTCTGAAAATGAATGTCGAGGTAAGGACCAAAGAAATGGAAATGTATGATGAACTTAGCAAAATGTGGGTTTCAATACAAGAACTGGTAAGATTAGTAACTGGGGATATTAGAAACCTCATAGACTGTAGGTACTAATCCTGAAAAACAGTTAGCAGTCAGGGAAAAATAAAATTGAAATTGGGAGTAAAGAGGGACAAACACATCTGACCAGACTTTTAGATTCCATTTTAAAATGTGATGAGAGCAAAATCAAAAGAAACCTGTAAGTGAAAAAATTTTCCCCCAGACAGCGAGCTCCTAATTTCACTGAAGAGGAATGGAAGTGCATTTTGCTGGGCTTATTCCATTTGGCTATCATTATAGGTGATTTCCCAGTGGCTCGAGTGGGACCTCCTTAAGAAAGATAAGCATGCTGGGGGGATCCTGAAGATCACGCTCTGTGACATCAAAGACAAATTTAGGTCTCTCACTGGGCCCTCTGACTGACCACTGTTTGCTGGCCACTCACAGATGGCAAAAACAGAGAGACCTGAGAAGTCTCATGTGGGTACCAGGCTATTGCAGGTTTATGGAAGAAAACGTAGACTTTCTACTTAAGAAAATGTCCCATTATCTGAGATTGTGGTGAAAACTGTGTGATAATTACACCTTTTAATTAAACAAAAATTTAATTTTCCTGGGTCCAAGAAAATAATGAGTGCCTATTCCAGAGAAAATTACTTTCGTTTTTCTTTATTTTTTTGGAGAGGTTTTTGCTCTAGGGTGCGTGTGCTCATATGCAAAAAGGAGAGA